ACATATAAAAAAAAAAAAAAAAAAAAAAAAAAGCTTTTCTTGTAACACTATGTGTTTTGAGATTTTTTAATTTAATTGTATGATTAGTTATAGGTTGTTAATATTGATGTTTTAGAACTTTGAGGATCAAGGGGTCGTGAGAGTTTAGTTGTCTATAGGTAGTTGAATCAGAGTTAAGATAGCTCAACCTAAGGAAAGCTATATAAATTTTTTCTTAAACCCTAAACATCATAAGTTTAGATTTTAAGAAAAGTTAAAGAGAACTTAAAGAGTTCTTTGGAAACTGGATCTTTTTTCTCCTTTTTCTACTGAAGATTTTTCTTCAACCCTTCCCTATAGTTAATCCAAAGTGACTAAGTGGAAGATTCAAAGCTCCCAAAGTTGAGAATCTCGATTGTTCACTTTATACATATATATTGATAATTCATTATGTTTTAAGTTGATATACTACATAATAATGTTTTTATGTTGCTAAGTTATAAGTTGATTAATGATAAAGTTGTAAAGTTGAATGATGTTATAGTTGATCAAGTTGATAAATTATTAGGCATGTGGTGTATATACATATCTTTGTTGAGATACATAATAATTAAAGGGGAATAGAAATTTTTTTAGACATTAAAATATTTCATTATGTAGATATAAGTTGTAGTGCTTCGAGAGCCCAAATTGAAAATCCTTCAATAAGTAAGCTAGCTTCTAAATGGTTAATTATTTTAAGTTGTTTCCTCTAAGTTCTATGTGAAAATCATATGTGGATAAAGTCAAGGCATATATATATAAAGTGAACAATCGAGTAAGTTACAAGGCCGAGGGACTTAATTCCCTAACCGAGAATTGGAAAGGTGTAGTATTTGAAGGATCTTTTGTTGATGGTTTGTTTGATGTCACGTTGATGTGACATAGTAATTGTTTAGAGGAACTAACCACTAATAGGATTATTTTATATATAGTTTAGTATGTTATGCATATATTGTATATATGTATATGGTATGTATATGACCTCTTCAAAGAATTCTTATTTTTAATTTGATTGGCAGGAAATGTTTTACGTTTTCTATGTCCTATACATATAATTATTACATGTATAATTAAGTAATTGTCACTAAATAATCTTAATTTAGTTGTATATGCTTTATTTTTTAACTATATTATATTGTACTATACTGAATATAGCAATCTGTCAAATTATTGCACTATGTTTTATTTTTTTAATTGTATTATATTGTACTATACTAAATATAGTAACCTGAAAAATTATTACACTTTTAATTGATGCTAAAAATAAGGCTACATTTGCAAGCAAAGACTTCCTCGTCTAGTAGAACTTCAAATTGATCCTTTCCTTAAATTTTATATTCCAAATAAAAAAAATTATAAAAAAAGGGATAACTTCGGACTTAATACTTCTTATTTATTCTAAAAAAATGCATGAAATTAGTCATTATTATCGGCTGTGGATATTTCAGGCAAAAAAAAAAAAAAAGGACGCATGAAAATAAAATGCAATTCTTAGACCACGTTTTACTTTATATTTACAGAAAAAGAATATAAGGAAGTGTTTTTTCGCACTTAAAAATATTACGTTTATTAAGCATCCACCTAACTTGTGCAAAGATATTGACTGATTGATGCTTGATTAATCAATACTTTAATGAAATAAACGTGTTTATTTTAGAGAACAAAGAAAAACGTAATATAAGAATTCATTTCCAAAGCAAGAGATCATTGTTCAAGAAAGCGAGAGAAATTAATTATAAAAAAAACTAAAAACCTAAACAAGAAAAAAAGAAGAAGGAAAAAAAAACAGACAACGGGGAAAAATGGAGAGAGAAGGACTCAGCACAACACAAACTTATGGTTTCTAATTAACAAAAAAAAAAGGTAAATAAAAGAAATTCATCAATTTATAGAGTCAAGGCATTTTTTAAAGAGAGAAATTTAATCGCTAGCATTTTTTAATTAAAATTTTAAACGAAGCAAGCTTGATTCTCAAGTTTAAGAAATATAGAAAGGTAACTAGTGATTTAAAAATAAAAAGTAAATTAAGATATTATTTTAGCTAAAAACGAATTTTAGTATTTTTGTAATAATAACTCAATTGAATTTAAATTTGACTTTTAAATTTTAGATTTCGACACACCGTATTAATAATGTATTGATTTTAATAATTTCCACTTCAATTTTAAAGTTATTAATAAAGAAAACATTCATAATTCTCTTTAACTTTTATTTACAAAATTTATTTAAATTAAAAAATACCGATATAATATTCGACAAATGTGCTACTCCAATAATACTAAAATAAAATTAATTCCACTTCTAAAACTAACAAAATATGTAATACTAATATTAGTATAAAAATTTAAAAAAGAAATTAAAAGATATAGGCTCAAAATATCTATAAATGTCATATATAAAATATACGATTAGATTTATATTTGACACTAATATATAATATTTATAATAATCTAATAAGTATCTATATTTACTATAACTCAACGACTAAGAGTAGAAAACATAAATGTCATATAACTTAAAATTATCATGTAAGCAATATATGAATATTCATGTAACATTATATATGAATAGGAATAAACAATTAAAAATATAAAGATTTTTCAGTGGGATTACAACATAATCCTATATATAATATCAAAATTGCAATATAAAATTTTTAAGTTATCAATCAAGTAACATCTAACTATTTAGAATAGCCTTCACCAATACATTATCATTACCAAAATCTCATAAAATGTTGCATCACTCGTATCCAACGTGATTAAGGCAAAGAGTACTCCACTCTCACATGTTTGGCATGGTAAAATCTACGCTCGACTCCAATCCAATAGAGATTTTCTACCTAACTCACATCTGACACCACACCTTTTAGTACCTAATGTGAACCCATGCATAGATGAGTGAATCTTAGATAGATTTCTTAGAAGATCAAACTCAAACACACGCCAACTAGAAGAGATAGTTGACATACAAACCAATATAGATATTGGAATCTTTACAGCCCAGTCTGTAAATGATGGCAATACAATTAGACAAAAAATTTACCTTGGTAATCTGGAAAGACTTTCCATAAGTTACTTTGGTAAAATAAAAGAATTTACCCAGGATTATCTAATGTATGCTTCCATAGCTGGAGGTTTTACAGATAGAAATTTAGGAGAAAAATTGTTCCTAAAACTTCCTGGTAAATTAGGACAAAAAATTAGAGATAGTTGAAAAGATGATCAGGTAGATCCTGTCATGAATAACCTAGCTGTCAGAATACAACACATCATGAAAGTGATGGAAGATACTTGCACAAACATTGCCATTAACAAGCAGGTAAAAATGGCAGACACTGATATCTGCAAACAGATATACACACCCCAACAATATCACAAAGAGGTCAGAAGAAAGAAACCCCAACGTGGAGAAAAGGGAGGACCCTCTTACTTAATTGTGCCTGATGTGATGAAAGCGCGCTTGGTCAAGAAAAAAAGGGGAAAGAGAAGTTTTTCACTTTGTACGATTTCGCTTAATTATACCCCACAACACAGTCACTCTGATTAGCTAAAGAAAGAATGAAAGAGAAGAAGAAAATCTCAACGAAAGAAGAAAAAAGAGGAAAAAAAAATCCTTCAAGCTCTCTCTATCTTTGCTAAACATGAGTATTACAATATATGTATATTAAAGATAAGATATAAGAATATAATTCAAAAAAAAATAAAAAAGATGATGTTGTTTAGTCCTTTTAAAATGACATTAATAAAAATAATATTTTCATAAAAATTGATAATTAAAAGGCAATTAAGGAAGTAGTGGTTAAATTTCCTATAGCATATTTAAGATGATCCTGTAAAAAGCAACATAAAATCAATAATGGCGAAGACGCTATCATAAAGTCACAAGACGAAGCTTATATTCTAAATCATGAAGATTTAGGTGTCACATAAACGTATCATTAAAGTGCCATTTACGTCATTAAGATTAAAAGGTGGGGAAAGGGCGATGTTCCTTTACCAACGAGTCAATCAACATTATTCATTCTTACCTTTCAAGAAGAAAATCTGTATCAATATTCTAAACTAATAATTTTTTCAATGACCCCTATACTAGTCAGAAAGTGAAACCCTCCAACTTCGATCATTCTTACCAAACTTGAAAATTGCATTTACAAACTTCTGTGAATCAAAGAAAAAAAAAACACTTTTATTAGTGCCGTTATTTTTTCAGTATGTGTTTTCAATTAAGATTTTATGAAAATAACAGTTTTTGTTAATGTTTTTAAGAATAGCAATTCTTTCTTGAGCTTAGACAAGAACAAGAGTGCCAAAAAGAATTGTTGAGACGTTTTATTTTTGGCAGATGAAGGCTCTCATAATTTAAATTTAAAACGACAACAAAATGTGACAGAAAACACCAAAATGATGTTAGAAGTTTACTGTTCGGTTTGGACCTCTCTTTCCGAAAAGTGAGAACTCCACATCACACGTGTCAACACAAACGCAATACTACAAACCCTTTCAAACTCTTACGCTCTTTTTCTTTTAATATTTAATTTACCAACAATGGAATTCTCAAATCTCAACACTTCTGCACTTTTTTTTTAATTTTATTTTATCCTATTGTTCTATTTATTCTTTTCATTACACCATTTTTTTGTCATTAAAAATTTGTTGTGTATGATAGTTTTGTCGATATAAATAGATAGATACATGTTGAAAAAGTTGGTGAAAAGAGAGAGAAAGCCTTTCTTATCTCCCACTCTATTATTATTTCCATGAATTTTGTGTTCATGCCATATTAAGTGGA